TACTGTTTATACATCAGCATTTGCATACACATAACCATGCATAGTATATGTTCTTTATGTGCAATATAATATTATAATATAGCAATACTTTGTACGATTTTATGTATTTGTCTTTCTCAGGGTTGGAGACGAACTTTCCTCCCTGTTGCCTGTAAGATTAGAGAAACTTGGTTCAAAAAGTCTTATGATGCAGGGAGGAAGAGGGATTTCTTTTTCTTCACTGCTCCAGCTTTCATTCATACTCTGGAAAAATTGACCAGTATTTCTGGATTCTTGGCCTACCGTAACCTGGATATCAGTGCCCAAATGAGGAGGCCAATTTTTTTTTTTTCTGTGGAAGCTGAAAATCCTGGGTTTCATCCCCAGTGCATGATTAAATGATTTACTGAAGTGTTTTTCTTTTACAAATTTATATATTTTCAACACAGTTTATTTAGACCAGTGCCTCTAGTCCAGGAACCATCTGTGACTCTCATGAAAGACAAATCAATTCCCAAAGAATAAATAGAAAAGGGTTTATCCACTACAAATTTTTCAATCACATCCATTTCACTTAAAGATTTAAATGGTAACCTGGAATTTGATCAGTATTTCTATTAACTTATCCCTTCATATTATATCAATAAAGCAATTATTTTAACTAATGAAGATAATGGATTATGAGAAAATAAAAAACAACTAGAAGAAGAAAGCCATCTATATATTCAAGTTGCACAAAGAATATCAATTTGTTCAGTTGTGAAAACATGGGGTGAGTCACTGTGGAAAAAGTTAAATGTTACCCAGACAGAAAAGAAGTCTAATAAGAGATGAGTTTAATGGGTTACATGCCCTTGGTTCCTCCCTCTTATTGTTTCTTTGTCCTAAAACAAACCTGACAGTATGTCTTTGGATCACCAGGTTAATGAAAGATATGTACATTGTGAAGGTTAAATAAGACCTCTGGTAAAGAAGTTTCACCAGAAAAGCCTGAAGCAATTTGAATTTTTCTTATGCTTCTGATTCCTAATGCATCCACTAAAGAGGCAATTTGACAAACATAAAGCGCTCGGGGCTCTTTGTCCACAGTTGTCAACTGTTTTTTGTTCAGTAAAAGCCCTGTGGAAAGAAAGGGCTTAAAACAGTCATTTTGTTATCACAGAACTCAGAATTAATCCCATGCATGTACCCAGTGGTGCTTTTAGCACTGTGCTTTGGAGCTGTAAATCCCCCACACGAGGAATGTGCAACCTGCTCGTGGGAGCTCATCCGGCTGCCCCTACTGCTCCTGCTTTTAGAGTCACCAGGGGAACACAATGTGAACAGGTTTTTGGAAACAAACAACCAGATTATGTAAAGTATTCTCACTCCTACTTTTTGTAATGAGCATCGTATTTCTCAGCGCACGCATTATTTTTTTGCATCTATTTTTAAGTTCTATTTAAAAACTTAAATAGAGTTTTCTACCAACATGCAAGACGAAACCCTCAACCTATAGCTCTGTGAACATCATTTGAGTCAGTGGATTTACAGAACAATCAGTAGGAAGGAAATAATTCAGGGTTTTGTTTTCTGATTTTTTCTAAAATGTTTCATCCCTCCTTCCATTCATGCAGAAAATAAGGATACTTAAGAGCTGGTCTATCAAGTAAGACCAGTGGTTCATTAAATGTACTTTCTTCTCTTTCAGTGAAAAATGCCAAATGCTGGCATGAAACTTTTTGAAACTTTTTGACAGATAATTATGGGTTGATTTACATTGGTTTGTTGTGTACTTTCTTCTCTTTCAGTGAAAAATGCCAAATGCTGGCATGAAACTTTTTGACAGATAATTATGGATTGATTTACATTGGTTTATTGTTTGTTTTGTTTTTTGTGGTGTTGGTTTTTGTTTTTTTTGTTGTTTTTTTTTTTAATTGTGAGTGTTTTGGGATTTGTTTGGTTGTTTGGTTGGTTTTTTGTGGAATAGCCAACCCATAGGGAAATACCAACTTACTTGCATACTTCAATGGCATCTATGGAAATGTTTAGAGACTTCCCAGGAACCCAAGGCAAAATGGAAACTGTAGTGAGTCTGTTAAAATTAAAGACAGCTGCAGGAAATGGACAGAACTCTCAGAGGAATTGCCTTATGGACTTCTATTACTAGCTTAGTTCCACATTTAAAAGATGAAACATTACATTTAGGAACAATCATTTCCACACTATGGCAATAAAAATTCATTATATGTGTAGGGCCTTATAGTTTTTGACGGTTTAAAATTATTTAGTTTTGTTATTATTTAATGCAAGTTTCTCCCAGCAACTAATAAATGAAACATGATTATCTACTTCTGCTGACTCTCACAGACCCAGGATGGGCTCTGGATGTGGCACCTGGATCCCCATTTAGATTGGTTTGTAAAAACTTTTCAAGAGAGAATTGGCTGCAAATTTATTCCGAGTCAAATCTTACCTCAAAAGTAAGATGTGAGATCCTGGGGAATGAACTCACTTGGGAGGAGTCTGTAATGCTTCCCAAGGGTTCTGGGCAGAGATTTTCTTTGGAAAGAAATTATCCAAGAAAGCATCTAGTCCTTGAAGAGTAAAGCCCATTATTATATATGAATAGGTGTTCAACTTATTTTGTTCCAAAACAAACCAGCAGAATTTAAAGAGGTGTTTGTCATTAAAAATCTCTGCTAGGAAAGAGAGGCAGCTGTTTTCTGATCATTACAGTTATTGATCTTCTTCATAGAATTTAACATGTAAAAACTGAGTGGACTTTTAAGAAAAAGTACACTGGCAAGTCCAGTTGTCAATGTAATTTACAAAAACCCCTTAAACTGTTAAATGCATATTCTTAAGAACAAAGTCTGACCTTGCCTCTTCTTGGATTACTAATAAGTCCTTTTCTTGTTTTCCAGAGGAAATGGATTTTGCAAGAGCAAAGAGCTGAAACTTGCTGTCAGACCTTCTAGCTCGAATATGGTGAAGGAAAGATGAGCTGATGTAAGGTTGCATCAACAGATGGTAAAATCACTATATTTGAAAAATGCTGGTCAAAATCAAGGAGTGGAATTATAAGGGAATCTATTTTGCAAAAGGAAAGGAGAGGGAAAAAAAAGCGGCTTGATTTCTAGTTTTTCCTTGCAGAAACATATTAAAGATACTTTACTAGCAAGAACTATTCAGAACATTGTGATTTTCTCTCAACATCAGATCTTTCCTATAGGCTAATTAATTCTACCTAAGAAGCATGCACCAGGATTTATTCTCATTGAAATGTGTCCCAATTTCTTTCCCATGCTATCTTTTTCTCTCTTTTTAAAATTTTTTTAAAATAATTTTTTATTTCATGATTCTGACCATATTATCATTCTCCTGGTAGCTCCTCACAGTTGCATGTCCTCTGCTTAATGATCATTCTCATTCTCTGTCCTTCCATAGTTAATGATAATGGGCTTCACAGCATCCCTCTTCATTATCACTACAGAGTACACATTTCCAGCCTGTTTTATGCCTCAGCCCTTTGTAGTTCCATTTAGAAATACATTTGCAAGACCTGCCTGTGAGACTGCTCTATAAGGCAACGTCAAAAGCTTTTTTACAGACACCACCCTGGTATCTTCTGCTTGTCTTCCATCCACAGAGCTGCAGGAGGAAGTTTGAAAAGTCTGACATTATTTTTTCTTGCCAAGTCTGTTCTGGCTGTTGCTCAACTCCACCTTCAGCTCCCATCATTCTCCCTTCTGCTCTGACTCCTGTGCAGTTGCTCTTGCCTCTGCAGCTTTGATTCCAGCACACTGAGGTCCTTTCCACTGACAACACTTCTTGCAACACTAGAATGCAGTTATCATTCCCTTGATTTGTCATCCGCACACTTTGCATTTCCTTTCTCCCATTTTTCCAAATATTTTAATATTTTTCTACCACTTGATAAAAAAGTTATGCATTCATTCTTTGCCTCTAATTATATTCCATCTCTTTGGCTGCTCCTTCAATTTCTCTGTTGTCTGTTTTTTCCTCTGCTTCTAATCCCTCAGACCACCCTCTGACTTCTTTCTCCTCTTCCAAGTACCCCCACAGTTATTTTTATCATCCTCAAGACCTCCCTTTAAATGCCATTCTTGCTAATTCAAAATAACAAATGAAAAACCTCTTTCACCTCATCTGCATCACATTACCCTCTGCCACTGAAAATGAATAAACTTTTCAATATCTTTGTCACTTCTGAAAATGAAGAGGGAAGATTAATTACTTTTACTGATTTAATTGAGGACCCATGAGCACTCTGGTAATCCAGGATTAGCTTCTTGGGGTTATTTTTTAAAGCAACCATAATCATATTCCTATTTGCTAGTTTGACAGATCACAGCAACACAGTCATAACTTTTTACAAATTGCCAATAATCCCAAGGCTTCTGTCTTCTAAATAAGGCCATTCTGAGTTTCCAACTCTTATAAAGTAATTATGTTTTGTACCTCATTTACAATAAAAATGGATGAATTCAGTCTAAAGAAATAGGCTTTTTCAAAGGAAATCAGACGGAGTGAAAGTAGCTTTGCAATCTGAGAATTCACACAAAGCAAGCAGCTGATCTTGCCTACACACACTGGGAATTTCTGTTAAAAGGAAAGGTCTAATTACACTTTGCACTTTGAAACCAAGTAATTCAGCTTTGTTGTAAAGTGACATAATTTTTCTGAAACTGCTGACATGGGGCACAATGTGCATTACTTGCCATCTGTTCACCTTCAATCCAAAGTTATAAAAATATAAAAGAATTTTTGTTGAATTTTTAACACCAGAATTTTGGCATTTTCTTTTGCAGCATTGTGTCAGGGAAAAGGTTTAGAGAAACATCAGCCCAGGATAGGTAATGAAAATTGAAGGTCTTTTTTAATCCCCTAAATTGTGGTAATAAACTTAGAACAACAGTATTTATGCTTCAAAACTACCATTTGAAGAATTTGAAAATGGTATTTTTAAAATCTGACAGATGACCTAAAGAGGTAAGTCCATTTAAATCATATTATTTTGTACTAAATGTCATTCTCCCTACTCACAGCAATATTCTCCATTCACATATCAGAGTTTCCTGTAACAGGCCAAAAAGCTGCTAAGTTAATGCTGACTGCATCAGTGATGCACATCATGGCTGGGGATGCAGGAGAGAGCTGTGTGCTCCAAAAGGAAGATTTCTCACAGGTAGGACATACAGCTGGACTCTTCAGATTTTCTGGGAAACAAATGGGACCTACCTGGCCCCAGTATTTGGACAGAGAAAACCTGTGAATGTTTCACGTCAGAAACATGGGTAGCAAAACCTACCCATATATTAATGAAGGATGGAAAAAGGGTAATTTTAGCCAGGATAATATTCTAAATCTTATCTAACTCTATATTAATAACTGATAAATATTTGAAATGCGCTTTTTTATCCCGTTGAGGTCTGATATTTCTATCACTTGGTAGTCCAGACCGATTCTTTCTGCTTTCTACTCTTTTCAGTTCCATAATCTTTTATTTAAAACAGATTTCTTCAACAACTTTTATGTTGTAATTATGAATTTAGAAGTTTCTGATTCTTTAAAGTACAAGGACTTTAAGTGGCTCCTTCAAGCAGCTTCATACTTGGCAAGCAGTGACTCTATATTAATAACTGATAAATATTTGAAATGCGCTTTTTTATCCCGTTGAGGTCTGATATTTCTATCACTTGGTAGTCCAGACCGATTCTTTCTGCTTTCTACTCTTTTCAGTTCCATAATCTTTTATTTAAAACAGATTTCTTCAACAACTTTTATGTTGTAATTATGAATTTAGAAGTTTCTGATTCTTTAAAGTACAAGGACTTTAAGTGGCTCCTTCAAGCAGCTTCATACTTGGCAAGTACTTTTTTCCTGACCATATTTCTAATGCTCCTGGATTTATTAAAGTTGGAAAATATCTCCAATATCATCAAGTCCAACCATTGACCCAGCACTGCCATGTTCACTAAATCTTATCTACAAGTACCACACCCACACACCTTTTGAAGACTTCCAAGAATGGTGATTCCACGCCTGCACTGGGCAGCCTTGATCTTGTTTGTGGCTTTACTGTTTGTCCCTTTTTCCTTTTTCTTAGTGCCATGGACTCTGAGAAATGTTACCCCGTGACCCTTTCCCCTTTCTAGTAATGGGCATCATGAAGTTAAAAACCTCCTGATGACTGGGTCCTCTCCTTACTCTTGGGTCCCTCTCCCTACACTTGGGGTCTTCACCAAACACTGACTTCCATTCTGTGTTTTTTCTTGTGTCTCAATTTAAAGCAGCCTGAATGGCAGAGTCAGCCTATTCCTGCAACCAGGCTGCTTCTGAGCTGACTGAAAAGCAATCAGGAGTACATTGTCTGAAAAAGTCCAAGCTTTAAATGTCTTCTTGGTCCTTTACAGTCAGATCATCAAACAGCTGCGCAGCATTAACACAAGTGCATTGCGAACGTTTATATTCTGATGAAAAGAAAAATTCTGTTTCATCCTCGTCTGCCAGAATTGTCAGTGATGAATGACAAAGTGTAGGAAAAAATAGAGAAAGAAAAGGACAAAGAGAGAATCTGCTTCCCTCTGTGTTTACAACTGGACCAATCAATTATCCCATGGCAAGGCTCACCCCACCTGCACAGGACTTGTTCTGGCAGTGCACCCGCTGCCTCGGGACAGGGCACTGCAAGGAAGGGACTGCTCTGCTTTCAACCCCTGTGCACAATTTAAATTCCAGCATCACATATAAGCCTCTCAGGCAGATCTACAAAAAAGAACAGTGCACTTCCTGAAATGAAAAGCATTCATATATCTGTTCAGATGCTACGTTCCCAAAGAGGCAACGTGCTTCTTAAGTTTCCCAGTTCCAAATGAGGAAATTTTGGAATTAAATCTCCTCGTTTCCAAAAGTTCCATAGCCTCAAACTCCACATTGGCTTGGGCCATGCCCAGAACAATATGTCTCAATAGTTCTGAGCAATTAGGCATTTAGGTAATCCCAAAGTTTTGAAAGTATCCAGAAACCCTTCTGAAGCTGGATGTAGAAGTCCTGTTCTGAAAATCCTGACCAGGGCTGGACTTGTGCAGTGCTCTGCTGTAGAGATAGGATGGCCACACTGCAGGATGGTGAAAGAGAAATTATCTGTCAGGGCATGTCAACCCAGTTTTTCTAATTGATGCTCCTAATTCACCAGGGTGAAAGATAGACTGGTTTTGTGACCTGGCTTCTAGGAGGAGTGCTTGGATGAATGGGGAAAACAAAAATGCGTCACACATATGATTAAGAAAAGGGTAAAGTGAGAAGAGAACTATTATTTTTCACCCTCATGGTTCATCTGGGAGCAAGGGTATCTGCTCTTCAGTCCCTGCTCCTAAGAATATATACACAATCTGTTTCAAGATCTTATGTTCTGGCTTGTAAAAAATGTGTTTTTAAACCCAAGAAGTGTTGGACTACACAGTGAATGCGCACTTAAAATTGCTGCATTTGGGATGTGATCATTTTTAAAGAAGATAACATCTGTTTGAAAGCTGAACAAAAATTGAGCTCATGCATTTTCGGGAACTTATTAAATAACATAAGACAGATTGTCTTTCTTTCATATAAAAGTTTTTTTTTCTTTAGTAGGAAAACTACAAGCACTACACAAAATGAAGCCAAAGGCTGCTAACACTTCCACTCTACAAATAGTTTTTACTAGTAATTGTTGGATCAAGCTGGTAGTAGTACTAGTATATGCTCACTGAAGAAATAATAATAATGATAATAATGATAATAATGATAATGATGATGATGATGATGATGATGATGATAATAATAATAATAATAATAATAATAATAATAATAATTTAAAATAACACATATCATTGTCCCTGTCTCTGCAGGCTTGTTTTGCTTTAGCAGTGATAAACCCTGCACACACAGCTGGATACAACAGGATTTCAGCCTCCTTTCTACAGCATGTTTTAAAGCTGTAAGTTGTTTTCACACCTGTACATCAATTGAGTTCTGGAGGTCTGATCTTAAGAAGGGAAACAGTGAGAGTTTCTGCAGGATAATTTCAGCTGGTACATAAGAATCAAAGGATCTTTCTTTTTACCTTAGATATCTTAGGCTTACAAGGGTTCCATTGTAAATAATGTGCAATAAGTAGCTCATGATCCATAATAAATGTAGTAATTTGTATCTGTAAATCAGACACAGTGTGTGTGCACATTTTCCTTCTCTAGAGGGAAAAAGAAACACCTTTGAAGCCTCCTGTGCAAAAGGACGTCCCACTCACATCATTCAAGTGCTAATGTTTGTTGTCTAATTGCATATGCAGAAATACATATTTATCTACTTACATATAAAATTATTAAAAAGTCTTTCAGTCAGAGTGGGAAATTAGTTTCTGATAAGCATGTGATATGTTTGGTAGATTATGTGTCAGTTCAAAATATTTAGTGTGACATAATGATCTGAGGACAAAAGTGGGTGAGACTGCTATTTACATGGTACTCTTGATACATTTAGTACTCTGAACTGAAAGATCTCAAAAAACCCAAACCAGCCCTAGAGAAAGGTGTCTCACCTGTGATATCAGCTCCTCTGGGTCTGGACTGAAGTCCCTTGAGACAGTAGTTCGTGTTCGGACTCAAGTGTTTATCATTTCTTATCAGGAAAACAGTCTCCCTATTGTGAGTTGGGCAGCTTTGCATTAGAAGGCACAAAATGGCTAACAATCTCTTGTTACGAGGTCTTTTAAGACTAAACTATCCAATTAACTACTGACATCTACATTATTTTCCCTTTTAACCCAAGAACTGATCCCAAAGAGCCTGCAATGCAGAGTTTTCTGCCCAATTACAAAATGCCACCCAAACCCATGAAGAAGAAGGAAGAAGAAGCGTGAAGAAGAAACCCAGGACAGCACCCTGTGCCCTCCATCTTGCTTCCATCCACAACATATCAAAGATCCCAAAACCTAAATTTCTCATTAAGTGATGCACCTAGACTACTCTCTATAATCTATTTCATAGTTCTGTGGATTTTAGTCTATCTTGAACTCTAGGAAACTTTCTCTATGAATGAGGGCCAAAGTCAGTGCTCCCCTGGGGGTCAGGGCACCCCAGAGCAGACAGAGAAATATTCCCAGTGTCCTGGGCTTCCACAGACCCAGAGCAGTCTCAGGCTAAGGATACAGAGGGGATACAGCACTGTTCTGTCAAGGCAGGCTGCACTGCCTGCCAGGACTCTCCTCTTCTGCCCTCCATAGACAACGTGCACACAAGCCACTTGGGCACACTGAGTCTCCTGCAGGACTGAGAGTCCTCTTCCTCTCCCCATTGACAGGAGAGAGAATTTACACATTTTCCACCAGAAAACTAAGAGTAGGAGAAAATCAGTTACTCAAGTTTGTGGGTGGGACTCACTAAATAAATGGAGGCAGTGGCAGCAGAGATGCATTTTCCTGCAAAATGAGGAAATAGAATAGCTGTGGCTTTATGCTAGCAAGATCTTCCTTCAGTGACTCCAAGACTTTTTGTCTGACTTATTAATGCTTTCTTTCTTTTTTATCTTTCTTTTTGAAATGTAGTTCTGTAGTTTTTCTACCCAGAATATTTTCATACATTCATCTGTCTGCCTGTAGATGTTTTTCTTTTCTCCTAGGTCAGTTTGCACCAAGATATTAATATTTCACCAGTTTTGCACCAAGAGATCAGTATTTCACCATTTTCTTCCTTATTAGGTATAGGGGCCTCTAACATTGATGTGTCGAGCAGTGAGGAGGTGGAATGGGGATTGCAAGCTAAAAACCTGCTGAGGACTTAGCTCTGCTGGGAGCCACAGCTTCAGTGCTGGTGAGAAATCTGGGGAGCAGGAGCTGCTTGAAGAGGGGTAATGAGATACCTTTGAGTTTTGTGATAAATGGCATTATTGGGATGAACAGCCTTTGAGGGTCCAGGTCAAGCAGTAAAACATGGGGTAGGTAAAGGAGGCAAGTGAAGAAGAGCAAAAAACCCAAAAGAACAACTGGTGCAGCCAGGCCCAAATAATAAAGCTTCTGGTAATCTCCAGCCTTGAAGATGCTTTAAAGCTGGAGAAATTCATCACACTCATGCAGTAGCACAATTATTCTTCATATTGTATAATAAATGCTGTCAGCTGCATAAAGTGACCACATTTGAAACTCTCAGGGAGAACTGAGAACTATTTTCTCATCACAAAATACAGATATTTATCGGACAAAAACAAATTATTGGCCTTGAATGTATTTATTTTAATTTGTTAAGTGTTATTTTGTGGACTTGAAGGGATCGCCTATAAAAATATTAATCAGTCAGAAAACCTTTTTCTTTTCTGAGAAGTACTTTGTGCTGCTAAAAACATTTGCTAACAAATGCAAGAGGGACTTTTCATTTTCTGTCAAACTCAAAATTCTGATGCCTTTTTTATTGCCAATATGATTTGCAAGAGCTAGGCAAAGGACTGAGTTTTTTCAACTTCTTTAGTTTAATAAATTTCTATTCTAATTATGTGGTATATTCTCATTGTGGACCATGGGTACTGCAGTTTGTGTTTGCCCAGTATTAGGTTATGTTTTAATTCTGGAGCAAAACCTTAGGAACACCCAAGTGCTTGGGACTGGCAGTAGAGTCAGGCATGCAAGAGCAATGCCCAGCATTGTTCTGGCTGTGCAGAGCAACAAAAGGTTGGTTTACTGTGAGCCTGCAAATACTGTGAATATCTGATATGGTCAAACCTTCCACTCAGATGGAGAAGAAAGCCAATAAAACCCCCTCCTCTGAAGTACTGGTTCTCTTCCTCTACTATTCAAGCCCTTTCTAGCCAAATGAACTAAGTTATCCACTGCACAAAATTTTAGGCTTTGCCTTGTTTGCTTGGCACTTTGCCATTATCTGAGTTTTTAATGGCACTTTGCCATTATCTGAGTTTTTAATGGCACTTTGCCATTATCTGAGTTTTGAAGGATGCTGAAGCACTACACAAATCATAATACAAATTATTAACTGGGGTTGCTCTGTTAGCACCCAGGGGCAGCTGTCCCTAAGGCTCTTCACTGTTCCTTTTTACCCATTAAATCTATTTTGACCTCACAGTTGGGTTTTTAATTATTATCTTCTGAGTCTTAGTATAAAAACTCTCTAGACAGTAAAATTCAGACTGACAAAAATTCAGCCTTTAAACATTACATTAATATGTACCACTGTAATCCCTTATCTTGAAACACTCAACTGGAATTAAAAGTACTTACCTGCTAATATAAAATAGTTCTCCCAATATATCTATAGATATATTTCCCAGGAGAGAGAGAAGGGAGTAGAAATGTCAAAACATCTATTCCCATCTGGTTTTTAACTTGTGCGTTTGTCTTGTTCCATTCACTGCAGACATTTTCTTGTTTTCCACATTTCTGCAATAATCCAATACTCAAAAGACAAAGGGATAATTCAGCCCATTTTTTATTTCAGCAATAAAAATACAACTTATCTGCTACACTTATGTTACAGAGCAGGTATGAAACCTCCACAAGTTTCACCCCTGTAATTTTCCTAGTGGTGACTTTCAAGTTCAAGACAACTCAAGAGGTCTGTAGTTCCTGCCCATATGACGTTTCTACTACTTTTCACTATTTATTACTCACTCATAATTCACCATTTTCAATCAGAACTCCTCTCATTGACCTTTTCAGAACAATTCAAAATTCCTGAATGTACAGAATTCTACTGTACTGCTCCTTCTCTTTCATACTAGTTACCTATTCCATTATCAACTATTGCCACTTTTCCCAAGTAACCACTACATTTGGAAGTATGATACAATTATTTTCTAAATGGCTGACAGTAATATCACAAATTTTAGCAAGATGAATTCATAAACTTATGTCTTAAAAGAGATAAATTATCAAATTACATAGTGTGGTAGAGATATATAAATGGAGATAATTTATGGATCTTCCCAGGCTGTGAGCACAAAGAAAGGTAACCTGGCACTGGTTTGGTGTTAAAGGCCACCCTTTAACAAAGCATGAAAACTCACATCAACTTAGACCAAAAAAACCCAAAAAACCAAACCAACTAACAAACCAAAAAAACTCAAAACCCACCAGCAACAAATAACCCAAAAAAACAACAGCCAATCAAAAAGCATTTTATTCTTATATAACTGCATTATTCCGAATTTAAAAAATAGTATTAAAAAATCCTTCTGGTAGAACTGATTCTGGACCCAGGGTATGGGAAGCCCAGACTTCAGTAACCAGAAAATAAATATGCAATGTACAATAGAAAAGAACTCAGAGGAAATTGAAAAAAGTTTTGAGTTAGGAACCTGTGAGAGAGAAGAGAAAGGGGAATATTTTCATCTGCAGGCCTCAGCTTAGATTTTCTACCAGCTGATGTAGCTTATGGATGGTTTAAATCCCTTTTTTTGCCTCACTTAATACTTACTTTTGGCATAGCAATTTAGGTGTCCATCAAAGCATTGTGAATTCTTGGTGCCAGACAGCTAACATTTGAGAGCTGCAGCACTGAATATTTCATTGGATTTTTGGTTATTTTCCCAAGAGAAATCATAGTTACAGGATGCTGTGACCAGGGGCCCCATAATTAGCCCTCCTGCAGTCATCAGCTTCTCTTATACAAAACTGTGACCTAACCAGACTGTGCTCCTGAGCCTTTATTATCCACTTTGCTTCCATGACCCTACTGTTCTCTCTGTGAAGCACCCTGGACTTCACAACTTGCCTTGGCTGTGTGCCAGGCCAAGAAAAATGGTGGTTATCACATTTTACACAGCTCCATGACCTCTTGGAGGGCAACAGCAAATTGCCAGTGCAGCTGTCAGCTGGGAGGTTTGTGTCTGGCTGAAAGCAAATGTCAATAATAATCAGCATCTCTTTTGGGTCTCACACTGCTGGGCACATCTTCAAGTGTGCAGCGTAGCTCCAAGTGAAGCCACTTATTTGTCTGCCTAAATATGGATCAGGAATGCACATTTATTTGTTGTTGCTGATCATATGCATGAGAAGTGATGCATCTCCATGCCCATTCTGACCACCTTAGACTAGGGATGACTAAAACATGGATAAGAGGAAAGTTTCTATTAAAATGGTTGAGTGTTACTGCAGTGAATTCCTATACTATGACACTGACTTATGTTTGAAACTTGTCCTGTTTCACAGAGTAAAAGAAGCCTCCAGCAAGAGTTTAAGGTACTAAATCTGATACTTATAATTCAATTTACATTAGAAATCTCATAACATTTCATGCAGTTTCAGATAGAAGAAACTGTGATATAAGTTAGTCTAACTTCTGGTATAGTGCTTTTTGCTATAAACTTGACCTACTGAGGGCACTCCAAAATGACCAGAGCAGCAGAAAACCAATTAGGCCAGATCACCTTAAATGATCTTGCAGACAGTCTGTGTCCCACCCAGAGGACAGGGGAAAAGCCAAAGTTACCTCCAGATTGAGAACTTGCACTTCAGATCATTCTGGAAGCAACCAATTTGTGTCTCCCAGGGAGTCTGCCACCATGCAGGTACAGCCCAGGTGACATCCCTTGCCCTCCGGCAATAACTTACAGTCCTAGAAAATATTTTATATCCATCCCTCGGTCATCACTTTTTAAAAATACACCAAGAATAGAACTCAAGTTATGGTAATCCACCATTAAAGTAAGGAAAGGTTCCTGGAAAAATTCCCTCAGTCCTTGTGAGCTGCCGTTTGCCCATGAAAGTCCAGGTAAATGCAGAACTAATCTCTTCAATCTCAGTATCTTGTGTCAAGGATGACAAAATTACCCATGGACATAAATAAAAGTAGGCTACTATTTATACTCAGACTTATTCACTTTAACAGGACACAGTTCTCGCTCACTGTTCATTCCCAGGATTTATGGTTATGTAATAGGTTTCTTAGACAAGGATTCCTGTGATATTTATAGTCAGTTTTTATTATTTTTTTTTACCTCCCCTTTTAGGCAAGAGTTTCAGAACTCCTCTAGTATTTAACCTCAGGGTAGCCTTTCTCCCCTTCTCTTTCTCCTTTCGACAAGAACACTTTCCTCTGCTCCTTTCCAGCTGCTGGTGAGAAGGTGTGTCCTCAGCAAAAGAGGCTCTGAGGATGTGCCCAGGGCAGATACACTTGGCTCATGACAGGTATCAGTGAAATCCATGGAAAACTGAGCATCTTGTTCCTCCAGACTCCTTTGAAAAATCAGTCTACAACTAAGCTCTTCTAAGCATCAAACTCCTGAGTTCTCTCTTTCTGATGCCTTACACTTGTGATACAGTTTCAGATTCAGACTCCAGACCCATTGCCAGCCCACATGAAGACTATGGAGGATAAAGAAAATGACAATTGATACTTAAGCATGGTCTGTATTTTTCAAGATAGCTTAAGAATCCATGTCCTGCCAATATTGTATTTATCCTTAGACCTCCCATTAAACTCCCATTTCAGTTTTTAAAATAACCTCATTACAGTGCAGTTTTTAAATGACACATTTGACTGTTCAGCCAAATATAAACATCTTCAGATTCATTTGCTGTCTGAGTCTTCAAAAGAGTGTTATAGATTCTAAAGGAAAAGAAAAAATGTCTGTCACTGACTGCATCTATGTGCACATACCACCCTCTTTAATACCCAAAGAATTTGTTATGATTTCTGTTATTCCTAAGACCACATAAATTAAAACAATAAGACAGCTAGAATAAAGTGTTACCAAATCCTAATCTCTAAAAGTGATATGAAATATTTTCAAGCAGATACAAGCAGAAAGAACTAATGATCCAGAGCTTTTAGCCTATTTATGTGAAAGATTAAAATAAAACTAGATTCTAAGTCTTGATCAATA